CGCCACCCGTCATTGGCGGCTGACTCACGATCCCGCGCGCATGGCAGTCCTGCTGCTGCTTGGCCACGGCTTAAGCTCCCGCAGAGCTCGCCCGGCATCGCATTTCCTGCTCCTCCCTTCACCTCTCGCTCGGACAGCACCAGCGTACGCACCCGCCACCGGCCGCCACCAGCTCCCTCGCCGGATTTGGCTCGTCCGTCCACCACAGCTCGCCGGCGACCACTCCATCTCGCCTGAAGCTTCGCCTTCTTCACCCGCGCACCGTGCTCGCTTACTCGCCGCCGTGGTAAGCCTCCCTTCCTTGGAAATTGCTCGCCAGAGCACGGCCGAGCTCACTGGTGAGCTCCGCTCCGTGGACTCCCCCTCCTCGCTTCTCTTCCCGCCTTTCCTTCACGCGCACAAGAAACGCACTATGACGATGAGTCTCCCGAGCGCCTCCTTTCGCCATACCGTGGCCGGAGACACTCCACCGGTGACTACCCGCGCCGCCGCTCCGCCATTGCCGTCGGCGAGCCTCTCTCCCATGCACAGCCCCTCCCTATTCACCTCTATCCGACGCGGTTTGTCATGGGGAGCACGTTGGTGCCCTTCGTTTCGCCGGGGACCTCGCCGTTGGTGAGAGCCGGCCAATCAACTGCGGTCCTGCAGCGGCTCCAGCTGACACGTGGGTCCGGCTTGACCGCGGGTCCCGCGTGGTAGTCACTCTGGGTGTACAGCACCGGGTGCACCCATCAGTTTTGTCAGCTGATTTTGAAAAGGGTTTAAGAAATGATTTTCAGATTTCTGTTTAAATGCTTTAGAAAATGTTTGTGTACTCCTTTTAGCTCCAAATCTATTGGAATAAATTTTGATAGGATCCTTATCACCAGATCTACTTGGAAAAATTATTGCATGTCATTTTTGAGATACTTTGCTATAGAATTTTATTTAATCATGTATATTGCTGATAACTTGAAAAATATGTAGAAAAATCTATAGGCTTCAGAAAAATATGATTCCAAGTTTGTTAATCTTCTTATGTCATGTACTTCCTAGGAAAAATATGTTTCATGCATGTGCTGTGGGAAAATTTTGAGGTGTAGTTCAAGTACCTTTAATGGCTGATTTTTGTTATTTTAGTTAGAGAGCAAACTTTGTATAAAACATGCATGTGATAATTTTTGTACAGTCATTGTATGCTATGAAGAACCTAGGAAAAATACTAACTCTGTTGTTTGACACTTTTCACAGTTCAAAGTATTTTTATGTTCATAATCCTGCCATGCCTTGTCATTTTTGTGTAGACTATTTTACTTATCCAAATGCCATGAAAATTTTATGGTAGTCTACTTAGAGTAGTACTATGCTACTGTAATTTTCTTAGATTCTTATAAACACAAAAAATATAGGTTGCTGTTGTAGCCCTAGTTTAAAATGAAATAAAATAATCCTCTTTAATGCAAGTTAGTTAATAATGTTAGCTTTGGTGTATCTTTGAAGCATTTAATAAGATGTGTTGACTTAACATATTAGTAGTAGAAGAGAATGCAGTAGATGACATGTGCTTGTAGTATATTTTCTTGGATGATGTTGACTACCTTGCATTCAAACATATCCATTGTATTCATCTCATCCGATGCACCGATTGCATAAGCACTTACGCACATTGCATCATACAGGATCACAAACCGAGAACCCAGTCGTCATACCCGAGGAGCCCGAGGAGAGCGATTCGATGTGCAAAGTAGCAGAAGTGCTGAAGCCAACGAGGAGGACGTTGAGGAACTTCCCGAGTGTCCCGATCACCGTCCGAGCTCCTTCGAGAGAGGCAAGCCCGAGATATTTTCTCCGGTTTGTAATTATTAATTCAATGCTTTACTTTATTTGATGCATTTATGTCAGGAGTTGTTTGCAATGATTCTTTGCATTATACCTTGTTTATCTTTGTTATACTATATCCTTGTTACCTGGTATCCGCAATCGAAGTCAATGCTTTATTTGGCTTAGACCGGTAGAAGTCTGGTGATTTCTGTCACTGCGAGCTATAGGTGGTTACCGGATGCTTGGATGACTATGAAGTCATGGTATAACTAAGTGTTAAATGAAGTTGAGATCGGACGGAGACTTGCGAGTTTTGGGACCTGTAGTGTTTCCGTCTGTGTCGATTAAGGACCGACCGTTGTTGGGCCTCGAGTCATGTTGAACGATGCCTTACATTTTTATTTGGCCGGATAAAGTACCTTCCGACCGCTGAATTGGGAGATTTTGGGCCGAGTAGATTGCCCATGACGCCTTGTCTTGCGAAGCGGTGTGGTAGGACACGGGGCGAGATGATAAGACCAAAGTGCGATCGGTGCGGCCCCGGTACATGTGGTTCTGGCAAACTCGAGATACGGAAAGTTGACTCGGTGATCAATATCTCACTTTAGCGGGTGAGTGAGGTTTGTGTAAGGAATAAATCACAATTTGGTTAGGAATCGATTCGAATCGCCATCGCTCCGGATAGTGAGCACTTGACTTGAGTTACTTCATCGTAGTAAATGTTTATGGAACACTTGGGCAGTTATAGTGAATATGACACAATATGGAAGTTGTTTAATGATTTGGTTATCATTACCCGCTTAATCATATGTTTGCTCTAGTTTAGGTGCAAATCTAGTCGATGAGTTAATAAGAATTAACTTGACAATAATGCTTTTAGAAAAGTTTTTGAAATGCTAAAATGCTTCTTTTGCAAATGACTGCTACCCTACTATAAAGCCTTCATAATCCTTGGTGTCATTTATTTTCGGTTATGTCGGGTAAGTCTAGTTGAGTACCTTCTCGTACTCGTGGTTTTATTCTCACTTGTGTGTAGATGGGCGGATGTATTACGACCATTGTATCAAGCGCCTTTATCCTGCGATGGGTGATGCTTAGGACCATGGGCATGGTCATTCCTTACGTCTTGTCTGATGCTTTTGTTGGAGATGATCATTCGCTGGCACTGTATTTAAACTCCGTGTGAGTGCGTGTGTGGTTTGAACAAATGACTTCCGCTACTTTTATTCGAACTTGTTTTGTAATAACTATGTTTAAACTCTGATGTATCTGAGATGCAAACTTTTATGTAATATGTGATGGTGACCGCTAAACTTATTACGATCTTAGCTGGAATGGAAGTTGGTTTGAAATCCTTCGTGATTTCACGGACTACCGGGTTATACGGGCTTAAGTTTGCTAAATCGTCTGCTCTGGCGGATGATTTTCTTACTTAATTTCGTATAATTGGTCGGTTCTGTTACACATCCCCTCCCTTAATAGGGAAATTCTCTGTGAGGAACCAATGATCGGGACCCATTACCATCTGTAGGTGGGTGGAGCGGTGATGCGAGAGCGCCACAGGTCTGGGCGAGGGAGGATTGCTGACAAGGAGGGTCAGGGGCGGGGGCAACTTGCTCCAATAGGTTACCAGGTAGTAGATCTCTCGGTGGGGGTGGGTTGCTGTTCGAAACAATGTGAGATGGGTGGAGCAGGGGCGAGCATGTTGTTAGCTTGACCTACAAAGGACAGGGCGAGGTAGTGAAGATGACAATACAATAACAATTGGATCCAGATGTAATGGTCAAAAATGTTGTTAGCTTGACATGCAGAGGAGAGGGTGAGATGGTGAAGATGACAATACAATAACAATTGGATTGAGATCTAATGGTCAATTTAAGTGTCGAGAGAGTAAAATGCCCGTGTGTATATATGGACCCTTCAGAAATTAGCTACGTACCCTAATATCACACTCCAATATCAAAAGTGTGTTTGTGACACCCTATGGATACCATTTAATTGATATATAGAAATAAATTATATAATGCGCAATATCATGTTGTTGTTTCTTGCTTTCCAAAGTTAATCATTTTTTTGTGCCCTTTGTGAAAGAATTGTCCACATGCATGCTCCACCCATCTCAAAATAAATCAACTTCTAGAATTGTTGCAGTCAAACTATTTTAAGTTTGACTAATATACAAAAGAGAGCTAATATTTATGACATTAAATTAATATATCACTAGATATATCATTGAATAGATTTTTATAATGTATTTATTTATTATCATAAATGATGTTAGTCTTTTTATAATGTTGATTAATGTTAAGATAGTTTGACTTAGGAATTGATTTATTTTGGAATGTGGGGTTATACAACTCAATGCAAACTAAGCAGTTTGTTACTGTCTATCGAGTCAAGGCTATAAACATGAAGTATTTTTTTTGTTTTTATATTCAGGGCCTGTTTGTTTCCCCTTGGCTAAAATTTAGGCATTGTTTAGTTGGCGATTTTTTTTTGGAAATGGTACTGTAGCACTTTCATTGTTATTTGACAATTAGTGGCCAATCATAGTCTAATTAGGCTTAAAAGATTCGTCTCGTGAATTTCGTCTAAACTGTGTAATTAGTTTTATTTTTTATTTATATTTAATGCTTTATGCATGCATCCAAAGATTCGATGTGACGGGAAATCTTGAAAAATTTTGCAAAATTTTGGGAATTAAACAGGCACTTAGCTACTAAAACTAGTGACTAAAATTTAGTCACCCTTTCTATTGACTAAAAGTAAGTAAATATTATTAAAGCAGTTTAACAAAGAACAAACTACCCTTAATAAATACCCAAATCAGGGTGGAGATCAGTAATAATGAGGGGCAGCCCTGGTCCACTCGGCACTTTAGCCCACTTTTAGCTACTCTTGGGTGACTAATGTAACTAAACTACTTTAGTCCTTTTTAATCAGTTTGTTTGGTAATTTAGTAGCTAAATTTTAGTAGGGTAACCAAACGTGCCCTCGGTCAAAGCTATATGGCCACTAATAGTCTTAATTAACTGTCCACACGGGAGATGTGGAAGACATCCTTGCCGGTGCTGGTATGGCCCTAGTAGTCTCCTAAACGCCGCCTCGATCGATCAGCTCCTCCCGGTGCTTTATATAATCTTAGCTTGAGGCACATTTTGTGCGCGCGCGGCCGTAGCCACACGCGTGCGTACGTTGCGATGGGTCTCTCCGGCTCCGGCGTCGCGTTGCTTGTGTTCCTCGGCCTCTGCACCGCCGTGTCGAGCTGGACGCCGCCACCGCCGCCTCCGCCGGAGATGCTGCACGAGAGCTTCGCAGGGAAGTCGGAGTTCAGGACGGTGAACCGGAGGAGGCTGGGCGTGTGCTCCAACCCGAGCCCGTACCTGGCGATCAGCGTGAGCACCGGCGGGGCGCCGCTCCCCGACGAGGCGTTCCTCAGGGTGACCGTGGCCGGCGTCCTCAGGCCCGACGCCGATGACTGGGTCGCCATGATCACGCCTTCCAACTACTCCAGGTAAATTTAGAAACAAGTTAGCAACATTTTTTACTGACTGCTAGCTGTTTCGATCGTTTATTCATTTTTGATAACGGATCGCCGTCGTCTCTCCGTGAATTGGTGCATGCGCAGTGTCTCCGGATGCCCTTTGAGTGGTGCTAACTACGTCCAGACAGGCGATCTAGCGCATCTCCCGCTTCTGTGCCACTACCCTGTCAAGGCAAGTTTCGCATTGCATACGCGGCTAGCTGCTTGCTTCACCCTTCTGTTTTTTTCGCTGGTTCATTCTTCTAAGGGTACTAGTTGCCACGAATTGCTATACAAATTTCGTTCTGTCATGTTCAAGTCGTTCTCTTCATTAAGAGGTTGCTGAGTTTACGAAAAGGCATCTCTAGTCTAGGTGGTTAAGTGCCTGTTCGTTTCGTCGTAAACGATCGTGGATTATTTACTGCTGGCTGGTTTGGTGTGAGAGAAAAATACTGTTCCAGTTTATAATCCACAATCGTATACGAGCAAGCGAACAAGCCGTTGATCATAGCGACATTTTTCGGTACCGGCCCAATGCAAAATGTCTCACAAGAATGGGCATCCATGATGAATATGAAGCAAGCCTAAGCTAGCGTGCAAACATTGGTCATCCGTATGGTATGGTATATTGTCATCACATGCATGACGTGCGTTGCATGGTTCAAATGGGCAAGGTGTACGTGTAGTTGGAGCTTAGAAAGCAGTCTAGTACTAGTTGGCAGCGTGTAAAGACATGATCTCGCGCACCTTCAAGGCCGTCTCAAATAATGGGCCAAATTATATATGGGCTGCTAAAGACGCCATGTTTCGGGCCGAATTGAGCTTGATCTTATTTGACGCGGTCCTCTTACCGGGGGTTGTGCAGGCCCAGTACTTGACGCGCGACCCTGGCTACCTGGGCTGCAAGACCGCGGCATGCCAGAAGCGCGACGCGTCGGGCGCCTGCAGCGTCCGCACCTGCGCCGCCACCGTCACCTTCCACGTCGTCAACTTCCGCACCGATGTCGAGTTCGTGCTCTTCTCCGGCGGCTTCCCGACGCCGTGTGTCCTCAGGCGGTCCGGCGCGCTCCGGTTCGCCAACCCCGGCAGCCCGCTCTACGGCCACCTCTCCAGCACCGACTCCACGGCCACTTCGGTGAGCAGTCCCACCGTTGTTTCTTCGTTCATTCTACGGCGATAGTCTGCAAAAGCGCAACAGCTTTACGGCAACTGTATCTGAGCGCTGGAAGCATGCATTGGGTGTTGCCAGATGAGGCTTACCTGGGTGAGCGGCGACCGGAGGCCACAGCAGGTTCAGTACGGAGTAGGCAAGTCTGCTACTTCTCAAGTGGCAACTTTCACGCAGAATGATATGTGCAGTAAGTTGTGATCGTCCGTTTATGAGAGAGCAGACGTTACTAAGGGAAATGTGACAGTGTTTGATTCTGGAATTGCTTCGGCAAACTTATCTTCGTGCAGGTAGCCCCTTGTTACCAAGCCCTGCCAAGGATTTCGGGTGGCATGACCCTGGCTACATTCACACGGCCGTCATGACCGGGCTGCAGCCTTCTCAGGCCTACACCTACCGTTACGGAAGGTAAAGTCCTCTTGTGACTAAGATCCTTGCAAACAAAACTACTGATCCGCAACGCTTCAGAATTAGAAAATGCCATGGGTGTTAGTAAGGTTTCTGACTTTAAAATGCCAGCCAGTTCTACAGTAACATTCTGGCAACCAAAGGAGATGGATGTTTCATGTGTTCACGCTGAGTTTGTGCTTGTGCAGTGATTCTGTGGGTTGGAGTGACACAAACTAATTCAGAATGCCACCAGCTGCGGGCTCACCCGAGACATCATTTGTGATCTATGGTGATATGGGGAAGGCTCCACTGGACCCATCAGTGGAACACTATATTCAGGTAGACCAAATTGTTGCCTTGAGCAACAGAATCGCTTAACTGTGGGTTTTGTATTCAGATTGTAACTTTCCTTCTGCGGTGTTCTGGTTGCATTAATTCCAAAATTACGAATTTATTTAAGTAGTAATTCTCACGGCATGCCTTTGCAGCCTGGATCGATTTCTGTGGCCAAGGCAGTGGCTAAAGAAATCCAGATAGGAAAGGTCGATTCAGTCTTCCACATAGGAGACATAAGCTATGCTACGGGCTTTCTGGTTGAATGGGACTTCTTCCTAAACCTCATAGCACCAGTCGCTTCTCGAGTTCCCTACATGACCGCTATTGGCAATCACGAAAGGTAACTGCTACTTTTAAAATCTTATGTTTGCAGTGTAATCTGAACAGTTGATTTGCGTCGTGAAATGCACCATCGTTGAGCATGAACTTGAGTTGTCTTCCTCAGGGATTATGCAGAGTCTGGTTCTGTATATGTGACCCCAGATTCAGGCGGCGAATGTGGAGTTGCATATGAGTCATATTTCCACATGCCAGCTGTCAGTAAGGATAAGCCATGGTATTCAATTGAGCAAGGGAGTGTTCACTTTGTCGTGATGTCAACTGAGCATAAGTGGTCAGAGACGTCAGAGCAGGTATACAATCAATTGGAACTTTTCATGTATTGTTCAGACTTAGAAATATATGTATTGTCTCTCTGAAAAGTTTATTGTTTGAATAGTACAAATGGATGAATCAAGATTTGTCATCAGTCAATAGATCGAGGACACCATGGGTAATTTTCATTGGGTGAGTTTCGTTACACAAACATGTTTGTTTTGAGTTAGCTTGGCTACGGACAGATCATGCTGGCCCAGTAAAATTCCAAACTTAAGTCCTTTCATTTTGTACTTTGTTTATCTTGAATCTGTAATATGTGCTATTCAGATACAAAAAACAGAATCACCATACTTCAATGAAAATTGCAGGCATAGACCGATGTATTCTTCCCATGTCGGAATACCAGTTAATGTAGATCCAATTTTTGTGGCCTCCGTTGAGCCACTCTTGCTCAAGTACCAGGTAAGAAATCACACTTGAAAACTGAAACTTAACTACATCAGGCTTTTTTTAGATTCTTAACTACATCAGGCTGGTATGAAAAGAACTGACCAGCTGATCTGAATACGCTAACCATAGTAGCATGTTTTGGTTTTTGGGTGTGTAGGTGGATTTGGTTTTCTTTGGCCATGTACACAACTATGAGAGGACTTGTGCAGTATACCGGGGCATATGCAAAGGCAAGCCAAAGAAGGATGCAAGTGGAATTGATACTTATGACAACAGCAAATATACTGCGCCTGTTCATGCCATTGTTGGAGCTGGAGGGTTTAGCTTGGACAAGTTCCCTAAGATTGTGGTAAGAATTATAGTAACAAGTCCTTTGTTGTCCAAAGCAAGTAGTGCATGATCTTGAACAAGTATGATATACATGAGATTTCTTGTAATAATTATCCAGTGAACATTAAGATTTGGGAGATAGTTTTAAGTTTATAACTATAAATTGATATCCAATACTATACATGCTTGTTAACAATCTTGCCTTGATTTCCAAATAATCAGTTGGACAAGTGGAGCTTATCAAGAGTTTCAGAGTTCGGCTATGCCAGGGTGCATGCCACAAGAGCTGATATGCTGGTTCAGGTCAGTTTTTGTATTTCCTTTCCTTTTCTCAATGTTTTCTATCTTCTCACATGTTTGATTGAAATAGTACTTCAGAGATTAAAGTGGCATTGAATAACGAAAATTCCAGAAAATTCCGAAAGAGCTCCATTTTGGCATTTCTCTCTGAACAATTGTTACTCTGTTTTCTTCAGTTTGTAAGTTCAATCACGATGGAGGTTCGGGACCAATTTAAAATTGTGAAGCCAGCTCCGGCAAGGAGGCTACGGAACCAGCCAGTTCAACCGTAGCTGCAGTTTATGGAAAAGATGGAACTGGAGCTACTTATATTTTTGTTATGCTATAGACAGGCCCGTCTTAAAGGTACGTGCAGGGGGTGCGACGGCCGGGGGCCCATGGCGTTGGGGGCCCATGAGTATACCCCTCTATACTACAGGTATACAGGCTTTCTGAGTCCATTTGCTGGTGCGCTCGATCGCTTCGTATGACGGCGACCCTTCCGATTTGCGATCAGAGTCGCGACTTCCTTTGCGTTGACGGCGACGGCGTTCTTCGCGGGAATCACGGCGGATTGAGGGCGGCGGCGGCGGCACGGTGACCTCGTCCGCTTTCGTCGCCGAGGCCATCTTTGTCTTCTTTGTCTTCTTCGCTGCGATCCTTCACGGCTTCACGTCACTACGTCGGCAGGTATACGATAATACTATAATAGCATACTAATATACGATCAAGATCAGCACGTTCGGGTATGGGCGTCGGCCTCCATCTCCATCCTCTAGCCTCCCTGCCCCACGATCACTTTTTTTTCGATTCGATTAAATCGATTCGGCACTAGGCACTCCGGCCGTGACTCCGTGACTCTGTGGCCAGCACCTAGCAGTAAGTGATTGCATTTGCCAATTTGCAGTTCTAGTTCAGTTATCAGTCGTAGGGATCTAATTTCTAAATTCTAATTGAAATATATTTTTTGTAAATGATAGATGCCGCCAAAAAAACATTTGTCTGGTTATGAGAAAAGGAAAAAAAGAAAACTAGAAGAGCAATCGAAAGAATCGCAAAAGGGTGCTATACATAAGTTTTTTTCAAGTTCAAGAAATCTTTGGAGTCATTCAAGATCAGAGGCAGGAACATGATCAACCAATAATTGCACAAGATTCCAATGAAGGTGCTACTGAGGAGGAAAATTTACAGGAAAATTTGCAGCCTTCGGATGATACAGAAAATGTAAACATGGATGAACAAGAAGATTCACTGTCGACTATCTTTGATCCTAGAACATGGGAAAATATTGATAATAGCAAAAGGGATATCTTAATTGAGAAAGGGCCTATGAGAGAAATGGATTTAGAATTCCCTAGTGATCCTAGTAATAGGCATTTTTCATATGCTTATTACTCTAGAAAGTTAACTAATGGTGAAGTTGTTGACAGGAAGTGGTTGGTTTACTCTAAACATGTGGACAAGGTCTATTGTTTTTCTTTGCAAGTTGTTCAAATCAAATCGAACAAGTCTAATTTTGCATCTGAAGGAGTGAGAGATTGGAGGCACTTGAGTGTGAAACTAAAAACAGCATGAGAAACGAGTGTGGAGCATTTGACAAACATGAATACATGGAATGATCTTGGATTAGATTAAGCAAAAATCAAACAATTGATGATGAAATGCAATGGGAAATTGCAAAAGAGAAGGGGCGTTAGAGACAAGTCTTTGGTAAGAATAGTTTCTTTGTGAAGTTTCTTGCTAAACAAAATCTAGCCTTTCGAGGATCAAATGCAAAACTTTATCAACCAAATAATGGTAATTTCCTGGCCACGGTAGAAATGATTGCTGAATTTGATCCTGTGATGCAAGAACATATTAGGCGCATTCATAATAGTGAGATTTATCATCATTATCTTGGCCCTAGTATTCAGAATGAGTTAATTGCTATTCTTGCTGATGCTGTGAAAACACATATCTTAAAGATTATAAAAGATGCCAAGTATTTCTCTGTTATCTTGGATTGTACCCCAGATGTGAGCCATGAAGAACAAATGACACTAATTGTGTTAATATGTCAAGTGCCATTCCAAGAGTAGAGGAATTTTTTCTAGAGTTCTTAAAGGTTGATGACATATCAGGATTGGGGCTTTTTAATGTATTGTTGGATGCATTGCAGACTCTTGATTTGAACATTGATGATGTAAGAGGTCAAGGGTATGACAATGGTTCCAATATGAAGGGAAAACATCAAGGTGTGCAGACACGTGTGCTTGAAATTAATCCAAGAGCATTGTATATGCCATGTGCATGTCACAGTCTGAACCTTACTCTTTGTGATATGGCAAAATCTTGCAGAAAAGCTATTTCGTTTTTTGGTGTCATACAACGGATATATGCATTGTTTTCACGTTCTACTAAAAGGTGGAAAATTTTGACTGATAATGTTGAGAGGTTCAGTGTCAAGCCCTTGTCTGATACTCGTTGGGAGAGTCGAATAAAGAGTGTGCAACCTATCAGGTATCAAGCCCCTCAAATAAGATCAGCTCTGCAGGAGGTGGAAAGAACATCTTCCGATGACCCAAAAGCAGTGAGTGATGCTCAATCATTGGTAACAGCACTTGAGAATTTTGAATTTTTAGTTGGTATGGTTATTTGGGATGATATTTTATCTACTATCAACATGGTGAGCAAAAAGTTGCAGTCTCCGATTGTGTCCTTGGATGGTACTCTTAAACAGATTGAAGGGGTCATAACATATTTCCAGGACTACAGAGATACAGGCTTCAGTGCTAGCATTGAGACTGCAAAATCCATTGCATCTAGTATGGATGTAGAGCCAGCATTTCCTACAAAACGTCAAGGTAAAAGAAAGAAGCATTTTGATGAACAAAATGATGAAACCGAAGAATTACAACGTTCAGCTATAGATTCCTTCAAAGAAGAGTACTTCCTAGTTATTGTTGATCATGCAATTGTTTTATTGACTAGTCGATTTGATCAGCTAAAGAAATTTGAAGAAATATTTGATTTCTTGTTCAACTCGGAAAATCTGAAGTCCTTGGATGCTACTGATCTACAAAAGTGTTGCACCACTTTTGTAAACAAATTTTCTCATGACAACAAGTCTGATGTCGAGTTAGATGATTTTTTCTCTGAATTGAAAGTGCTGCAAGTTACTTTGCCAGATAAATTAATGTCAGCACTTGAGATTCTTCACTTTGTTAAAGATTTAGATTGCTATCCAAATGTCTCTATTGCATATCGGATTCTCTTAACTGTTCCTGTGACAGTAGCATCAGTCGAAAGAAGCTTCTCTAAATTGAAGCTATTGAAAAATTGTTTGAGATCAACTATGCTACAAGAAAGATTAAATGGCTTGGCTATGTGCAGCATTGAGAATGATATTTTGGATAAAATTGATCTCGATATTGTTATTGAAGATTTTGCATCAAGAAATGCCCGAAGGCGGTTTTTTAAAAAGCACTAAAACACTACATTTGAGGTAACCATAATAGTTATCTTACAGCTCTTTTAGCTTCTTCGATTTGATGTAATGTCATTTTTTATTGAACTAAATATATGCTGCAAGTTATCTCTTATTAGTAGTACTATGTATTTCAGTATTTGAATCGTCATATTAAAACATTAGATTGTCGGGCCCTTTGTGCCTTGCTTGCACGAGGGCCCTCAAAATTATTGAGACGGCCCTGGCTATAGAAAAATAGCGCTGAATTACACATAAGGGCATTGTCTAATTAAGTTCTATAGCTATCTGTGTAGTGTATGTTTTTTCATGACATCTCTACATCGATATAGTTCCATCTCCCTCTGTGGAGGATATTGATCCACAAGTGCCATACTGTAGTTGTAGCTAACAGCGTAACATGGGCCCCTGAACTTTTTAAGTTTTAATTTACAGTTTTGTTACTTCTGAATTTCTGAAAGTACAGGAATTAAAACCAGCATTCCAAACAAGTCCTAAACAAAACTTTGAAGGTTAGCCGTTGTAAATATTGGCATTGTATACACAACAGAAGAGAACATACGGGAAAAGAAACCGACATCTTGGTACATCTTAAATCTGCGCCGCGTCACTGCCGTCCTGCGACTAACACCGCTCGGCGCTCGCCGCCATTCTCCCTCTAAACCCAACTGTTACTAGCAAAGTTCTTATAAAAGTCCCTTTGATTTGATCGTAACTGCATTTCATTCTCGACGTGCCTTTGATTTACAAATATTTCATTGGACATAAGAGGTTTCTGGAATCAGCATGATGTTTGGTGAATTAGCAAATTACAAATATTTCATTTGACATAAGAGGATTTTGGAATCATCGAAAGTATAGGGAACTAAAATTTGTTTTCGACATCAAGTATGCTAAACCATTACGGCCCGTTCGGCTCGCTGAATCTTAGCTGAAATTGGCTGAAAACATTGTTCTGCCTGAAATGTTGTGAGAGAAAAACACTGTTCCGGCTGAAAAAAGAAGCCGATCAAGCCGGATATGGGGTAAGCCGAACGGGGCCGTGACGGCAACATCTAAGCTCTGCATAATATACGCCAACACAGTTCGACTGTCGTCCAGCTGCGCTGACAAAGAAAATGAAGCGAAAGCTACATCATGTCTCCTGGTCCTGGAGTGAACTGAATTCAGTGGAGGAATCGACATACGCCTTGTAAATATAGCAGATCTTCCATCATCTGGACGCCATTTAGTTTTCTTTTTTTCTGTTCGGAGTTGCAACGACAAGTTAGTGTGTCAATTTCTGGAATTTAATTTGGACAGATGACGTGTTAATTAGTTTTCTGTGAATGGTGGATAATTCAATAACTCTTCACTTTTTGAGAGAACGGAACACACTATATCTATATTTCAGAATATCATATAGCTGGAGCCATGGAATTAGTTTAGTCATATGCCTCAATGGCATTACCGCACTAGCATGCATGATGGGGAATATACCAAGGCAGTATATAGCGTCCAGACTCGAGTCAAGAGTGATCATCGGCTCTGATAATTTTTCTATACACCTCCGATCTGTGCTTTGCCGTGGCAGGACGGCTGAACTTGCGGTAAATCAAAGGCATATGCGACGCAAACACCATTGTACTCTGTCTTGTTATACGATGATGCCTATATAAGCCCAATCACCCATTCGGCAAAAACCACACACCAAGCTAGTGCAGGCTAATAGTTACAAACTGACACTAGTGCGGTAGCAGCAGCAGCGCCGGCCCGTAGCAACGAGAAGCATGGCAAGGCTGTTCCTCGCGTGCATGGTTCTGCTTGGCCTTGCAATGTCCGCAGCGG